AGGCTATGGCAGATAAGAAGGTTCCCATGTTACAAACAACCAGTGGAATTGGTACCATTTTGTTTGGAAAAAAATATGCAAAATACATGTGAAAAAGGTGTCAATGCATTAAAGTGTTTGTTCACCAATGCCAGAAGTCTTGAGAATGTCCTGTGGGAGGGGCGAAACACATTGACGCACTTCCGGTCTGCCATCTATCCGTCCTATGCAACTTCAGATGAGTGGAAGCACGCTGAGCGGTGCGTTCCAAGTGGCTATCTTTGATGTTGGTTAGAGAGACACTCTGTCAACCTCTGCAATAAGGCTGTGAGGTTTCTGAAGCTGTGCTTGGATGTTATGGGAACTGTTTGGCCGGATGAAGGCAAATAAACAATGCTTTTTTTGATTTTGTGAAATGTGAGTGGCCTGGTATTATTACTATTATACGGGGTATTAGCAATATTACACTACATACACCTTTTTTTCTCTTGCACTACTGTGGAGCTGGTTTGGAAGGATATATCAGGAGTGATTGGAAGGAGAATCTAATCCCTATCTGGTAAAATGGAGTCCTGGAGGATGTAGAGTGGGTAAGGAGCAGGGCCCTCCTAACCTTCTTGTATTAAACTGTATTGTTGCTGTATTGTCTCCCTTTATTTTGTAAAGCACTGAGCAAACTGTTGGCGCTATATAAATCCTGTATAATAATAATATTAATATAGGATCCCCAAAAGTCCTAAAAGGCGTGTAATTCACCAACATCTGGTGAGTGCGGTTTATGTTGGTTACAGCACTGGTGGATGGTAGAAGCACATACTAAAAAGAGAGTTTTTTTGGTTGGAGCACTTAGGAATTTGGGAATAAGGACTTTATATGTTTTTTGTACACTTTTATATATTTTCTATATTTTTATATTTTTTATATTTTTACTTTTTATTTTTTGCACTTTTTATTTGAATTTATTATTCATATGATTTGGGGGTTGTTATTTAGTTTTTATGGGTTTTGATTTGCACTGTTTATATTGTTTTATAATGCCAGAAGTCTGCCAAGCAAAATAGGTGAATTGGAAGCTTTGGTGCATGACAAGAACTATGATTTAATTGGCATTGCTGAATCTTGGATTCATTCTTCACATGACTGGGCCATTAATATTCCTGACTATGTTCTCTTTCGGAGAGGCAGGGTAAATAGGAAAGGTGGTGGTGTCTGTCTCTGTGAGAAGTGATCTTAGAGCAAGTGTGAAAGAGGACCTAGTTGATGGAGAGTGTGATGAGGCTGAAGCATTATGGGTGGAACTGCATATGAGGGTGCGTACTACAAAGGTAATCACTGGAGTTTGTTATAGGCCTTCCAGTGTTAATGAGGAGATGGAAACTCAGCTCCTTGTACAGATTGAAAGGGCTGCAAGGGCTGGGACAGTGATAATGGGAGATTTTAACTACCCCGAAATTTACTACAGGACAATTTTATGGTACAGTTCATAGACGCCCCTACTAGGAATGATTCTCTGCTGGACCTGGTAATCTCAAACCATGCAGAGCTTATTACGAATGTCCATATAAAAGAACATCTGGGTAGCAGTGACCATAACATGATTTCATTTGTTAGCTGTAAACCGCAAGCACATACGGGAAAAATAAAAACGCTCAATTTCAAGAGAGCTAATTTTCCAAGGCTGAGAGCTTCTCTCCATGACGTAGATTGAGAGGGAATATTGGCATCGATGAACACAACACAGAAATGGAAGTTCTTCAAAAAAGACTGTATGTGAACACACTGCAAAATATGCAAATAATCAATAGAGAAGATGGGACTTTCATGGTGCATAGACATGAATACCACAGATTAAAAGTTGTATAACCAAAATACGAAATAAAAATTATATAACTTTTAATGTGTGGTATTCATGTCTATGCACCCTGAAAGTCCCATCTTCTGTATTTATTATTGCAATTTTAAGGGATGTGGTGCAATAATCATCTGGTCACTCGCTCGCCACTTCACTGTTTCACACTGCAAAATATATTCCCACGGGCAACAAGTTTAAAAGGCTAAAAGTCAAACCTATGTGGCTTACAGCCAAAGTTAAAAAAGCTATAGATAATAAGAAAAGAACTTTTATCAAATATAAAAATGAAGGAACGCTATCATCGTTTAAACATTACAAAGAATGACAGAATATACAAAAAGGAAATAAAGGCCGCAAAAAATGAAAATGAATGACAGATTGCAAAAGATAGCAGGACCAACCCCCAAAAATTCTTCAAATATATTAATAGTAAAAAGGTCCGGTCCGAGCATGTAGGCCCTTTACAAAATAATCTAGAGTGAGTGACTGGGGACAAAGAACGCAAATTTATTTTAATACCTTCTTTAGCTCTGTGTATACAAAGGAGCATGGGGGAGCTCTTGTCCATAATGGGCATAGTATTGACACAGCCCCAGATGATCCACATTGGCTCACAATTGATATGATCCAAAAATATTTAGATAGTATAAAGGTGAGTAAAGCACCTGGACCAGATGGCAAACACCCATGGGTCCTTAAAGAATTGAGCTCTGTCATTTCAAAGCCATTGTTTCTAATTTTTAGGGACTCTTTAATGACTGGCATAGTACCACTATATTGGCGTAAGGCCAATGTGGTACCAATATTTAAAAAGGGGTCAAAATCTTTACCAAGTTTAAGTTTAACTTCTATAGTTGGGAAGATACAGGAGAGTTTAATAAAAGACCACATAGATGAGTTCTTGCTGGAAAAAAATATTTTAAGCAACAGACAGCATGGATTCATGAAAGACAGAAGTTGTCAAACAAATCTGATTTCTTTTTATGAAGGGGTGAGCAAAACCTTGGACAGAGGGGTGGCGGTGGACGTGGTATACTTGGATTTGGCAAAAGCGTCTGACACAGTTCCCCACACATGACTAATGTGTAAGGTAAAGTCTACAGGCTTGGAACAATCCGTATGTAAATGGATAGAAAACTGGCTAAAAGATCGAATTCAAGTGGTTTAATGATTCATACTCTGTATGGTCTAAGGTTGTCAGTGGTGTACCCCAAGGTTCATTGTTGGGACCCTTACTTTTTAAAAAAGGCCTGGACTCTTTCTTGGATACACAGAATATAACTGGATACTAACATTTATAGGTAAAGTTGATCCAGGGAATATCCGATTGCCTCTCGGGGGATCAGGAAGGAATTTTTTTCCCAGCAGGAGCAAATTGGATCATGCTTTGCTTGTTTTTTTTTGCCTTCCTCTGGATCAACTGTGGGTATAGGATTATAACTTTTTTTTTTTTTTTTTTTTTTTTTTTTTAATGGTTGAACTGGATGGACTTTTGTCCTTTTTTTTTTTTTTTTTTTCAGCCAGACTAACTATGCAAAGGATGTAAATACAATTTTTCTCAACAGAAAGTGAAGGGATTGGATATAGATATTACATTATTAATTTATTATCCCATGTTCTCTGATATACACAACAAAGAGTAGCAATTTGCATACCTATTTATACAAAATCATCAAATCTATATTTATTCTGTTAAAACTAGACCTGCATAATTTAAAAACACTTTAAATTGATATCTACCAAACATGGCTAATACTGTATTTAATTCAAATAAGTACATGTGTTTGTGTTTATTTCAATCCACCATTATTATCCTGACTTCAGTTAAAGAGACAAGAATCCACATGGACTTGACATTAATTATAATACCCAGCTGTGTACATTTAATCACTGGGTGTTGTGCATAGGTTGATCGTATCAAAGGACCTCCAATGAATTCGGTACTTATATCATCACGCCTCCACCCAGAAATGCACAATACCCTTGATACTTGCTTTCACAATATTAGCCTCACTCTCATTAGGAAAAAGGACATTAGCCAGTCAAACAAGATTTAATTTAAGATTTCATTAATAATCCTTCCGGAGCCTTAGCCAGCCAAGCAGGATTGTGGAGGCATCTCATATCATGCAGTCACAAGTACATAGCAGTAGAGTGGATAGATGTAGTAAAGGCAAGACAGCAGCTGATGGCAAATCGGATGTAAGCCATACATCCATTTATAGCAAACTGTGCACAAAAAATGTACATACTTTCCATATGCTCTGCATACAATCCAGGTCATCAGTATATATATCTTCCTACACTGATCATACTTCAGCAAGTACCAATGTCCAGGCAATCCTGTGGTATGAAAATCACCAAAACATGTCAATGAATATGAATCAGTAGATATACATAGTCTCTGCATTTGAGCATTTTATATGTTCAAAAGCAGCATGTTATCATTCGTCTCCTGTATAAGCGGCAAAGATGCAGGCAAAGAGTGCTGGAAATTTTGTAAACACACTGGGGCTTATTTACTAATGGCAAAAAAGGCTTGACGTTGCAAGGGAAGTTCCATTTTGCAAGGGAATCTTCAACAGAGCTTAGTGAATTTTGTGAAATTTTACCTATGCAAAGAATACCCAATCATGTACAAAGAAAATTTAAAAAAAACTGCATTTTTACTTGCAAAAGACTGGATGATGAAAGTTAGCAGAGCTTTACTTCATTCCCATTGCAAAGTGAACAGTCTATTTGTCGTTGTTTTTTTTTTTTTTTTTTTTTTATGTAACAGTAGTGCAGTCTTATTGTCTTTTAGTAAACCAACCCCACTGTAAGATCAGCATACGTTTGTAGCTCACATGAACTCTACACAATCTATATAAATGTTGCTATGGTCACATTTGTTGCACTGTTACCCGCATTTATAGTTATTTTAGCTTAAAAAACTTTGTCCAACTTGCGGATGTCATGTCTGTTACGCCACCTCAGAACGTCACAACTTTTGGGCATCTCCCTGGTGACACAGTAATACATGCCCTGGTATGCTGGTGTCTACATTTATTACAATGTTCTTTTTCTTTTGTATTTTTTAAAAGGAAAAAAAATGTCAGTTAATTAAAAGGGTTACAGTTTACATCTACATTAATGTCCATTTTTTCCACATTGTCTCTGATTTCCATAGGTATATAAATCCACAGCAGATGTAGACAGGGCACGTGAGATGTATGATGGATACTCCAAAGTTACAGACAGCGAACCATATCATTTTCTTACACTGCGAGACATTGTGATCTTAAGAAAAGAGGAGCGCAAGTCATTTGTACAGATAAACACACGGCTGACAGGTGAGTAATGCGACTGCAAACTACCAGACACAATAGAAATGTCTGCAGGCTTGTTAAATAGAATAAAGTGCAGTCAGTCATGGAAACCAGGTATATAAAGATAGCTGATTGTTTCCATAGGTAATGTATATAGGCATTTAACTTTGCAGTTCCTAATTAAATATTGAAATAATGCCCATAGTCTTGTTATCTGCACCATAGTGTCAAGAGCTTTCCACCAGAGCTTCTGGCTCCACCAGCTGCTGCAACAAGAAAAATGTATTTCTGCCCAGAACTGAGATGTCCGTTTCAGTGGATTGATTCTTTAAATGTAATCTCAAGTACAAAGCGTTTAGCAGATTGTATGGTGTTAGGTTGAGTCATCAATGAATTTGTATTTCATTGATTACAGGGAAGAGAAATGTAAAGGAATGTTTGGCGAAGATTTAGCTGTAAATGGGCAAAGGTTTTAAATTGATAACTTTAAACCGCACTAGAGATGAGCTTGGGCATCCTCCAAACTTATCTCTAACCCAAACTCCCACTTTTCAGTAAACCAATGAGCTTGGGACCAGGCCATTCCCCAACCCGTAGCTTCTGTGAGCTAAACTGCACCTATAGACTTTCTTTCTGCAGCATGTAAAAAAACATTTTCATGGGTGAATTGGCTATTGAATAATTGTAAGGTTAGTTTACGTTGATATCACACTCTTAAAAACATTAAGCACACCATGTTTTCTGGTCCTTTCAGTGGTCGTATTTTAGATGCATTTACCATGTATTAGAGTGCATTATTGCCTTTTGTAGATGAACGCAATGCATGCCAAAAGAACAATAAGTGTAAGTTAACATTACATATAATTGTATTCAAAATTTGAATACTGAGCCAGAACCTTTAAAAGTGCTTTACAAAAAACATATATAAAGTGAAACAGAAACCACTAGGAACAATTAAAAAAGTGCGTATTTTTATGACTGTTAATTCCAGCACTGGCTTAAATTATGTTTGCATATGAGTACAGTAGATCTCAGTTGACATTTGAGGTTATGCTGCTTTGTTTTTGACTCTTAGTTGCCTATCTGCAAGGAATGACTTTAGCTGCTCATAATCTTGTTTCTTTCCCATCTGTTGAGGAATTAGTAAGTCATATACTGTTGGGTTTTATTGTTGCTTACAAGAAGATTGGATACTTGCAAACATACAATCTGTAAGCCAGAGCAGGGTAACCCCTTCTACTGGAAGAAGGCCTCAGTAATTTTTCTAGTGTCCTAGGAGGATGGACCTATTTTTTTTTCCCTGCTCAACTTGAAAATGTCTAACCTAGCTTTTTTTGCTACCATAGTATTTCCTCTTTTTTTTGCTCAGTCAAGGTTCCTTGCTTCATCGATGCATGAGCTGGTCTCTGTGATAGGAAGTCATCCGGACCAGCCTTTCCTCTGCCTAGCTTTGGATTGCAATACCTAGACTCAACTAGACAGAGGGGGCAGTCCTACTGCTACAGGTGATCCCAGCTCACATTCCTCTAGTGTTCCTTGGTAGTTTGCTCTGTGTCCTTTGAAGGCACTGATGTCTGTAATATGGAATCCAGTTACCCTATGAATATATGGCCCACCTCATCATCAGGGTCCTCCTTGGCTCCACCTGGTGAAGATGAGTCCCTTGCTGTTTTTGTATGTACTGCAGTTATTCAGGACTTTGCAGCCATGTTTACTGTGTTACTTGGTGGTGCCAACTGAAAAACCTAAGTGCATTCCCGGGCCTTCCCCTGCATAGATCGTTTCTTATCTTCCCGCAGCCTTGAAAGTGGCCAAGCCACCAATAGCAGTGATCATATCTGACTCTGATATGGGGTCAGCTTAGTCTCTCCCTGATGAGACTATTTTTGGGGAATCGCAGTCTTTAGCCATTACTCTAGATTTACAGGAAACCATTTTGGGCACTATTGATGCAGGACACTTATTGGTGGGTGAATGGGGAAAGATGGGGGGGAGGGCTATGGCAGATAGGAAGGTTCCCATGTTACAAACAACCAGTGGAATTGGTACCATTTTGTATGAAAATAAGAAATATGCAAAATACGTGTGCACAGGGTGTTAATGAATTAAAGTGTTTGTTCACCAATGCCAGAAGTCTGCCAAGCAAAATATGTGAGGTAGAAGCTTTGGTTCATGAACAGGTAGATTTAATTGATATTGCTGAATCTTGGCTTCATTCTTCACATGACCATATTCCTGGCTATGTTCTCTTTCAGAGAGACAGGATAAATAGGAAAGGAGGTGGTGTCTGTCTCTATGTGAAAAGTGATCTCAAAGCGAGTGTGAAAAAGGAACTAGTTGATGAATAGTGTGATGAGGCTGAAGCATTATGGGTGGAAATGTACATTAGGGTGCGTACTACAAAGGTAATCATTGGAGTTTGTTATAGGCCTCCCAGTGTTAATGAGGAGGTGGAGACTTCGCTCCTTGCAGAGATCAAAAGGACTGTGACAGTGATAATAATGGGGGATTTTAACTACCTGGAAATTGACTGGAGTAATGGTACTGCAGAAAGTTAAAGGGCAAACATTTTTAAACCTACTACAGGACAATTTTATGGTACAGTTCATAGAGGCCCCAACTAGGAATGATGCTCTGCTGGACCTGGTAATCTCAAACCATGCAGAGCTTATTACGAATGTCCATTTAAAAGAACATCTGAGTAGCAGTTACCATAACATGATTTCATTTATTGTTAGCTGTAAACAGCAAGCACATACAGGAAAAATAAAAACGCTCAATTTCAAGAGAGCTAATTTTCCAAGGCAGAGAGCTGCCAAGACTTAGATTGAGAGGGAATATTGGCATCAATGAACACAACACAGATATGGGAGTTCTTCAAAAATACTGTATGTGAACACACTGCAAAATATATTCCCATGGGTAACAAGTTTAAAAGGCTAAAAATCAAACTTATGTGGCTTACGGCCAAAGTTAAAAAATTTATAGATCATAAGAAAAGAGCTTTTATTGAGTATAAAAATGAAGGAATGCTATCATCGTTTAAACATCACAAAGAATACAACGGAATATGCAAAAAAAGGAAATAAAGGCTGCAAAAATAGAAAACTAACGACAGATTGCAAAATATAGCAGGACTAACCCCTAAAAAATCCTTCAAATATATTAATAGTAAAAAGGTCCGGGGTGTGTGGCCTGGAGCAGCATGGCGTAGGGTGCACTTTTGGGAGACATCAGTTTCTGCTGATCCTGCATAATATCCTGCTCTCTCTCATACCCGTTACACCTGCTAACCTCTCTTCTAACCCTTCCGCATCATGTCACCTCCTGAAAAAAGTTGCTGACGCTAGCAGCAGACTTAACAAGTTCTGACATAAAGAGACATTACGGGGTTAGATGGCGCCATTGCTTCCTCTGCGGGTGAATGCTGATACGAACAACTGACTTGCAAAATTGAAGAGATTGATATTTCCCTTATTCGTCAAGACTTACTAAAACTCTGGGAGCGGGACACGGAGGTGGAAGCGAGCCTTAGCCACGTGGAGGATAACCTGCTGCCATTACAGGTTACCACTGAACGCCTGAAACACCAACTACATGCCATTCTGCAAAAGCAAGATGACATGGAAAATAGACTTTGGAGGTGCAATATCAGATTTGTTGGTCTACCTGAGGGTGTAGAGGGCTCGGATCCAGCTACTTCCCGGGAATTATCACCACTACCTACGGCAAGACAGCGTTCTCCCACATCGTTTTGGTGGAGCGGGCCCATCGCCTGGCCTCTAGACCTCCGCCAAAAGGGTCACTTACACGTACATTTATTGGCAAGTTCCTGAACTACCGTGATCGTGACACCATTCTTCGCCTCACCAGGGAAAAAGTAAGCATTCCCTTCCATAATATAAGGATTGCAGTGTTTACCGACTTCTCTGCTGAGGTGTAAAAGCGATGCGCGCAATTTGTGGAAGCCAAGCGTCAACTCCAAATCCATCATATTTTTTACGCTATGCTATTCCCTGCCAGGCTTCGTGTTGTGGGTGATTACAAGTTCCACTTTTTTGAAGACCCAGAATCGGTACCAACGTGGCTGGATCAGCGAGCAGCAGCGGGTCCTGCACCAGCCTGACCTCCTGGGACATCTAGTGGAACTCTGCTCCATGTATTCCCACTCCAGGGACTCGTGAGTGTGTCAAGCCGCACCTGTCTGTGACTCTGACTCCCCCTTATTGTGCACATATTTATTTTTTCTCACTTCCCCCTCCCTCTACAACTGCAATTTTTTTCTCTTTAATTTTTTTTTCTCCATTTTTTTTGTCCTCCTGGTCTCAGCTCCTAATCCCCTTCATTTTGTCCTACTTGCAAGTCTTGGGCCTCTCCCATCCAGATGTCCGTTGATTTATTTTCTCTTCTTTCCCCTCTCCCCCTTTCCCCCCTTTCCCTTGCCTCTTCCCCTTTCCCCTCCCTCTTCCCCCTCCCCCTCCCTCTCCCCCTCTCCCCTCCCTCTTCCCCCTCTCCCCTCCCTCTTCCCCCTCTCCCCTCCCTCTTCCCCCTCTCCCCTCCCTCTTCCCCCTCGCCTCCCTCTTCCCCTTCCCCTCCCCCCCCCTTTCTCGCCTCTTCCCCTTTCCCTCGCCTCTTCCCCTTTCCCTCGCCTCTTCCCCATCTCCCCCCCCTTTCCCTTGCCTCTTCGCCTCTTCCCCATCCCCCCCTTTCCCTCGCCTCTTCCCCTTCCTTTCCCCCTCCCGCTTATCCTTCTCACTCCTTTCTCTTTTATACTAGTTCTATTATATTCTTTTATTTTCCCTTCCACTTGGGCATCCAACACCCTGGGCAGTGACCCGCTTTTCAGCGGATTGTTCACTCCCTTAGTAATTGAACCTCCCCCAGTGTGTTTCGGTCTTTGCTGTTTTTTTTGTCTGCAAGGTCCGTTTTTTAGGTGGAGGTTTGGGTTCCATTTTTTTATATTTTACCCTATGCAAGGTTTCTCTGGCCAGCTGGAATGTGGCACTTTGTCATCAATACCTCTA